AGGCGTTCGTAACCCGAGGTACCACTGTAATCTTGTTCACTGCATAATTGGGATCTGCACATTTATATTAACCCAGTTTGTAACATTCCCCCCAATACACAAGTTGTACTCAATTTTCTCTAATATATTTTTCTATGCATCTATCCCAATATATACCTTTCCTAAATTTTTCTCAGACATGAATTTTTGTAAGTAATTTTTGAGCTAATTAAAGACAGACACTAGCAAAATCTGAATCATATTTCTATCTGTGCAAATTCCATTTTAACAGATCACATCATTTAACTTGAAAAAAAAACTTGACAGATTTTTTTAACAACCCTTCTGCTCATTCATAGAATCCTTAGGGCATGCTATCGATTAGTTGTTCCTGGTTGTAGTGCTTCACTATAGTAGTACAATGTGAACATTGTGGAATAAAACTCATATATTAATGATAAACTATAACATCAGCTAATAATTTGAATTTGTCTCCAGATACTTATCATAAACAGTTGGTACTGATGGAATCTCTAGCTACATTTTTGTGCACCCATATGTATTATACAACACATAACATGCTCAACACATAATTACAATTCTGATCATAAAAGAGATTCCTAAAATCTCCTGCAGCACCAGTAATAGGAGGGAGTTTAATACCTGGATCAAATTTCCAAAGGTCATGGAAGTGTCTGTTCAGGCGTGCATTATAGCCACCAAATATATACAATTCTCCATTGTAGCCAACTGTAGAATCAGAGAAAAGACAGGTCAGAATAACTCCAAAAGGAGTAGGGATAGAGAGAGAGAGACTGGGGATAAGCAATTGATTCTTTTCTTGTTCACTGTACTTCTAATTCAGTTGAGCTTTTGACATTTCCCCCCATAGTAGATGCACAAGATCAATTTTAGAAAGATAGAAAAATATAGACAGAAGAAATACAGAACAGTATATGACCTTCTGAAAATACTTGTTTGATCTACCAGTTAGACATATTCTATGGAGTGTTACTGCTTACATGCTGAATGGCTTCGTCTGCCTTCAGGGAGAAGAGGAGTGGGAGGAGAATCCAGCCAAGAGTTTGTGTCAGTGTCAAATACTTTGATTCGGTTACAGTAAATCTCATTGTTGGAATGGAATGGCCCAAAGCGATCTGCTCTTCCCCCAAATACATACATCTTTGTCCCAATTATTGTGGCTGAATGGAAGTCTCTCCATCGAGCTGGTGTGCCCTGAAAAAAAGGTTCCTGTTAGAGGAAGTCAAATGGAAGTTACTTTTGGAATAAAAGATATGGAAGGGTATGGGATCTGAGTGTTCACAATCTTGTTGGTTTCAATCCACAGCAGGTGGAAGTTAAATAGGAAATAGGATTACATAATAGACAAAAAATACACACTTTACATATATACTGACCTTAGTGCAGATCAAACTCCACATCATGTTGCTGCTATCAAGTTTGTGGATGTCATTTGAAAAACAATCAGCCTGAAAGACAGAGCAGTGATTAAACTACTTGGCATGTCAAAACCAGAATTGCCAACCAAATCTAGGATTCCTAAGGAGATATTGGTTACCTTGTTCCCAGACAGGAAAACTCTTGAATTTAATTCTTCAAGATTTCCCTGTGGAATTAGAATATATTCAGGGAACTAGAAGAAGTGGGTTAAAAAAAAAGCACCTGTTCAGAGGTTATACTATCTAAATCTCAAAATGAATACAGAATTATGAGCTGCGTGGGCTTTGCCATAGTTACTTGTCATCATAAAACTATCTCCACTCTACAAACATAAAAAGTAAGCAATGAGACTAAACCCATTGTCAGCAATATCCCATGGTTTTGAATGCTTTCTCTAAATCAACTGCCTTTTGAAATAATGGTGAGCCAAACTTGCTCCCAGTAGTGCAAATTTAGTAGAACTGTTTATCAACAGTCGCTAAGTTGGGTAAAAAAAAAAAAAAAAAAAGCCTCAAGCTAAATATTCTGAGAGGAATCAGTATCAATTTTTAAAAGATACTTTTGGCTGTCCTTGCCATGGATTTGTAAGATTTGGGGTTATAGATTAGTATCCTAAACTATTAATTTGCTTCAGCGCTCTCCTTCACAGGACATCACAGCATTCTGCAGGTTAATTCTGCAGATTCATTGAAAATGGCTCTAACTTTAATGCTGTTGCTAAACCTAGCCATAACTATAATCCATCATACTATCATTAGAAACACTAGAAAGGTCCAACTAATTTTTGCTAAATATGGGCTTAATATTGGATACAGCCACGGTTTTATTTGCAACAGTCTGACCAGTAAAGATAAAGATGCCTGAAATATCAATAGACAAACCAATTATAAGTTATCCATTATTATTGCCATTCATCTATTTACCAGTACTAGGAACAGCTTGCAGAAATATTAACACACTTTAGCTCAAAAATATAGCCAGCCTTTCAAACCAGTATGCAGATTATTTTATTCAGACATACACATTTTGAAATAAATCTTACTGTATTTAGTGAGACTTATTTCTAACTTCAATAGCGATTTAGCATTATTTTCAGATTGTGGAAACACTGGGTTATCACAAGGATTTTTAGCTGCCTTTACTTAATTCACAAATGTATTTAAATATTGAAAGCAGGTAGATCTGCACATAAATGGTACAGACCTTAGAACAACTTACCAGTTGCTCATATCCTCCAAAAATATACATGCTCCTTCCCAAGACACAAGCTGAATGCCCATCCCTTGCTCCTGGAACCATTCCAGAAACTTTTGGAGTAAACCACTTGTGTGTGCCTAATACATAAAGATTAAAAAAAGGGGAGATAGATATGAACTATTTTTAGTGGACATAGAATGGCATGCTCAGGGATGTATGACAAAAGGTAATAACTCTTGGAGGGAAAATCATTAAAGTATACAATCTCTCTCTCTGTCTAAGGTCTGTTTGTATAAAGCATACCAAACTATATGTTCCAAAGCTATTCAGTAGTTCATGAAACATTCTCTAAAGCCACTAGTTGTGTAGGTTTGTTATTATGTTATCATAGATTAATATTACAAACTATACCACAGAGATGCTTGAAACCTTTTGGAAAGTGACTAAATGCAGAAGAGGCATTTTTCACCATCAGTGAAAAATATCCTTTACACGTGATTCTGAGAACATCAGCAATGAAAAGTGCTGTAAATTTTAAGATGACACCTTTCCTGGAAGACCCCCCCCTTCCCTCCCCCAAAAGCACAGATAATCCTTGGAGAAGCAGGACATTCCTTGAACACAGTTGGCAGTCAGTTTCAAGTCTTGTTCCAGGAAGCAGCAACAGGATGGCCTATCGAAAATCTGTCCTGCAATAAGGGCCTCTCATAACTTGGCTTTCAACCACAGCTATTCACCCAGACTAATTGGAGTTGTCCTCCAGCCCAATGTAAGTTCATAATGGGAAACCAAGCCTTATTCTATGTGGGTACCTGCCATATTTAGATTTCTAAATTCAGTTGAGTATTATCCCTAAGGACCTTCACCAAGTGCAACAGATGAAACTAGAGAGATGTGACATCTAATCTAGATGGCATTTGTAAGCCAGCAAAGGACAATGCCCTGCATAACAGGCTCAGGGCTTTGTCTAGCCTGAAATGACTCATATGGGATTTTTTTTTTCTTTTCCCTCAAGAAGGGTAGGCTTAGTACATTTGCTTTCCAGGGATAATATGAAATGATGCAAGGCTGCCTAGGATTTTGGACTGTGACAGTTCTTATGTTGCTTTGCAACATTCCTTGTGAACATTATCTTAGTAGGAATCTGATATAACATATAGCAGAATTATTTGGATAACTATTTCTGCTGTCTACAAAAAATGGAGAATAGAAGTATTAGCACTCCTTGTATTCAATGTTGCTTCATACAGCATCTGACATTATATTTCCTCATTGTGACCACTCTCTCTCATACTCCTGAATATTTCTTTCACTATCCTTACATCTTCTCCATACTGCTAGTAACATTGAATCTATTTGCACCCCAAAAGCCTACTCTTAAATTCACTACACAATAATCTCAGTACTACTTTTATTATTTATTAAATTTGTTATGAGAGCTCACTCCAGTAGACTCAGTACCACAGTCATTTACAAAAGGACTACCCCAAAATTTTCTAACTGAATTCTACTTGTATCTATCTCTCCATGCTTTCTCTTCTCCCATATTAGACAATATACCCAACTGCCAAGATCAACTTAGTACACATTTGCTTGTTTTTTTCTTAAGACAATTTACATATATTTGCTAGCATCAGTATGATTCTTTTTACCTTGTAAAACCCAGACATATCCTTGCTTAAATAATTTGTTTAACCTTAGTTCTGTGAATAAGTATTTGCCTTATTTTGGATTTTTCTGATTTTTTTGTATGTTATCATCGCTTCATGTGAGTCTTACTGATACAGAAGGGGAGTCTGAGTAAAAAAAAATAGCACCAACGTTTGGAGCAAGCCTATATCTATATCTATATCTATATCTATATCTATCTGTACAGTATCTGTATCTATCTCATTTATATAGCTGCCCACCTCACACAAAGCAACTCTGGGCAGCGTACAATTGTTTTATTTCATCAAGTCATCCGATATGTAATGTGCCTGCGTGAAAAAAGTAATGCCCCCTTAGATTCAGAAACTTACTGCACCACTTTTAGCTGCAAAAACTGCAATCAAATATTTCTTAGGCTTGATGATCGGTCTCCCGCTTCATTGTGTAGGAATTTTGTCCCATTCCTCCACTGCAAAGTGCTTTAACTCAGTAACATGTGAGAATTTTCAGCATGAACTGCTCACTTCAGATCCTGTAATAATAGTTCTGTGGGTTAGGTCTGGATTTTGACTTGGCCATTCCAAAATGTTCATCTTGTTCTTCTCCATCTGTTCTGTTGTGCACTTGCTTGTATGTTTGGGATCACTGCCTTGCTGCATGACCCATTTGCACTCCAGGTTCAGCTGAGTGATGAATAGATGTTTTCCTATAGAATTCTCCTATACAAAGCAGAATTCATGCTCCTTTCAATGATGATAAATTGACTAGGTCCTGAGGCAGCAAAATATCCCCAAACCATTACATGACTACTTCTATGCTTGCCCATTAGTATGTGGTTTTTATTAGGAATGCAGTGTTTGGTTTCCCCCAGACAAAACAATACCATGTCACCTCAGAAGCTCCACTTTTGATTTATCTATGCATAGGACATTCTTACAGAAATCTGAAGAGTCATTCAGGTGCTTTTTTTGGCAAACTTGAGGTAAGCACAAATGTTCTTCTTAGGGCTATGGCTTCCACCTTCCTGTTCTCCTATGAATCCCATTTTTGACCCAGTGCTTTTCTGATGATGGAATCACGAGCACTGACTTGAGCCAAGGCAAGAGAGTGATTATGAGAGGACAGCACTCTTGGACAAGCATATTCATAATTGTCCCAAATATTTTCTGTTTTCTGAATCAGTGGCACCCCAGAACTTTAGAAATGGTTTTGTAAGTTTTTCCATATTGTTAGTATCAATAACTTTTTACAGAAGTCTTCAGAAATTTCATATGAGCAGGCATGATGTGCTTCTATAATCTGTATGGTGAGAACTCTATTGTCCTGGTGAGCCAAAGTCTGTCATATTTAGAGCACTACTGTCCTAAAACAGCCTTCACTTATTAATAAAGAACTTATACAAGTGACCCTAATTATCCCTTAAATTGAAGAGAGCTTTGGATCATTTTCTTCAATAAATAAATGAACAAGTATAATGTTTTGAGTCATTTGTTTAACTGAGTTCTCTTTATCTAGTTTTAGGACTTGGGTGGAGAAGTTGTAGTGTTTTAGGTCATATTTATGCAGAAATATTGAAAATTCAAAAGGGTTCACAAACCTTTAAGCACCACTACATATTTAGGTATCTTATCTGTTCATCTTTCTCTATCCTCTTCCTTGGTATTGTGGCAGTCACACCCTTGATATATACAAAGAATGTATTGCCTACTGCATCATGTGCATTTCCTCCACAAACTCATGCTACTCCATTTGTATCCAGTGTACTTGCTGCTGTCTTCACAGAAAGCTCAGCTTGTTAGAGCTTCCAAAAAGAGACATTTAACATTTTGGAGGCACAGAATTCTACTGTGCCAAGCTAAAGAGAGCTGCAGTTAATAGAGAAACACAGAGAGCACTGATTTCAAGTGAGTTTAAGCACAAAATAGTTTCTATCCCATTACTGTTGAGAATCATAATCATTATTATTATTAGCCTCACTGCTAATGATGCTTATTTTAGAATAGAAGGAAAAGTAATTTCAGTAATAAGAATAATGTTTATTATTACTTGCCTCAATAAGTTAATGATGATAATTTTATAATAGGAACAGAAAGGAAATAGAATGGAAAGCAGCTACATTACTTATTTAATAAATATTTATTTAAATGTATGATTAATTTAGAAATAATTAATAAGTATAATAATTTATTAGTGGGGCAATGCGTCAATGTATTGCAATGTAATGGATGAATATTAGGGAAAAATGACATTGCTATAGGTGTGTACTACAGGACACCCAACCAATACATTATTTATTTAATAAATATTTATTTAAATGTATGATAAATTTAGAAATAATAAATGTAATAATAATTTATTAGTGGGGCAATTACATCAATGTAATGCAATGTAATGGGTGAATATTAGGGGAAATATGACATTGCTATAGGTGTGTACTGCAGGCCACCCAACCAAGCAGAGGAAATAGATGAACTTTTTGTAAATCAGTTAGCTGAGGTCTCCAGGAAACATACCACTGTACTAATGGGGGACTTTAACTACCATGACATCAACTGGGAAACAAGTTTTACAGCAAGTGGGAGATCAAACAGGTTCCTGATGCGCCTAGCTGACAACTTTATCATCCAAAAGGTAGAGGAGGGAACTAAAGGGTCAGCTGTACTGGACTTGATACTTACTAATAGGGGTGAAGTGGTTGACGGAGTGGAAGTTGTAGGAACTTTGGGAGAAAGTGACCATGTCATACTAGGATTCACCATATTGCACGCAAGGGTAACTGAGCAAAGTCAGACTAGTGCTCTAGATTTTAAGAGAGCTGACTTCAACAAGCTAAGAGAAAGAATAGGAAAAATGCCAAGGATGGAAATCCTAGAGGGAAAAACAGTTCAGGATGGTTGGGAAACTCTGAAAAACGAGATAATAAAGGCCCAAACAAAAACAATAGCACAGAGAAAGAAAAACAAGAGAACCTGACCAGTGTGGTTGCACAAAGAGCTCTCTGTCAAGCTGAGGGACAAAAAGGACAAAAAGTGGAAAGAGGGGCTTGTAACTAGAGCAGAATACCAGCAAATAGCCCAAATTTGCAAGGACAGACTCAGGAAGGCTAAGGCTCAGAATGAGCTAAGACTTGCAACAAATGCCAAAAATAACAAAAAAAGTTTATTTCAATATGTAAGGGACAGACTCAGGAAGGCTAAGGCTCAGAATGAGCTAAGACTTGCAACAAATGCCAAAAATAACAAAAAAAGTTTATTTCAATATGTAAGGGACAGACTCAGGAAGGCTAAGGCTCAGAATGAGCTAAGACTTGCAACAAATGCCAAAAATAACAAAAAAAGTTTATTTCAATATGTAAGGAGCAAGAGGGAAATCAAGGAAATGGTTGGTCCACTAGTGGGAGAAGATGGCAAGAAGGTGACAGGCAGTAGGGAGAAGGTGGAACTGCTTAATTCCTTTTTTGCATCTATCTTTACACAAAAGGAAAAAATAGTCCAACCTGTCAAAATCAGCACTGTGGGAGATAGAAGAGGAATGCAGGTCAAAATAGATAAGGAATCGGTTAGAGAACACCTAACTCATCTGAACAAATTCTCCTGGACTGGATGGTTTACACCCCACGGTACTGAAGGAGCTGGCAAATGTGATCTCAGAACCACTGAATGAAATCTTTGAGAGCTCCTGGAGCACAGGGGAACTGCCAGAGGACTGGAAAAGAACTGATGTGGTTCTAATCTTTAAAAAGGGGAAAAAAGCAAATCCAAGAAACTACAGACCAATCAGCTTGACATCAATACCTGGGAAAATCCTGGAAAAGGT